GTTGTATGATAGCATAGTTAGACCATGGTTTATGGGTAGGCTTGTTGTATGATAGCATAGTTAGACCATGGTTTATGGGACGGCATGTTGTATGATAGCATAGTTAGACCATGGATTATGGGACGGCTTGTTGTATGATAGCATAGTTAGACCATGGTTTATGGGACAGCTTGTTGTATGATAGCATAGTTAGACCATGGTTTATGGAATGGCTTGTTGTATGATAGCATAGTTAGACCATGGTTTATGGAATGGCCTGTTGTATGATAGCATAGTTAGACCATGGTTTATGGGACGGCTTGTTGTATGATAGCATAGTTAGACCATGGTTTATTGGCTTGACTATAGTTGTTGTAAACACTGTGATCCAGGTAACACATTAGGTGTAACCAATAAAAGAAAAATGTCAAACCATGGTTGGCCCTGTATACTGTGAAAACTTGGTTGGCCCTGTATACCAGTATATCGTGAAACCATGGTTGGCCCTTTATACCGTGAAACCTTGGTTGGCCTATGTATACCGTGAAACCATGGTTGGCACTATATACCATGAAACCTTGGTTGGCCATGTATAACATGAAACCATGGTTGGCCCTGTATACCGTGAAACCATGTTTGGCCCTATATACCATGAAACCTTGGTTGGCCCTGTATACCAGGAAACCGTGGTTGGCCCTGTATACCGTGAAACCATGGTTGGCCCTGTATACTGTGAAACATTGGTTGTCCCTGTATAACGTGAAACCATGGTTGGCCCTGTATACCGTGAAATCTTGGTTGTCCCTGTATCCCGTGAAACCTTGGTTGGTCCTGTACATGTATACCGTGAAACCTTGGTTGGCCCTGTATACCGTGAAACCTTGGTTGGCCCTGTTCATGTATACCGTGAAACCTTGGTTGAAATAATTAGGGCAACATTATTGTGTGACTGTCAGGTCGAGCAGCTTGATTATTGTATCCTGAAGGGTTCTGGACATCTGTTCCAGACACGACAACATTTACATTTTTATGTATTTGTTTCTGCTGTACGAGGGTCATTCAATGCATTCTGTCACCACACTATTCCCGTTAGGAGTCACAATAAAATAATTTAGCGCCTTGACAGACTGCAAGAGCATTTACATAATAATGCACGTGCAACATTTCGACATCATCCGACAAGAATTGAACAAGTTATTCATTTTTGAATGGTATGCACTCATGACTAGTGGCTACTTTTAAATCCTAAAATGTAACACAGAGTGCTGTACAGATACGTACAGCAAAGAAGGCACCTCTGCCGTCACATTGAGAACTACCTTAAGGTGGGTGAATGAATTCAAGGGTGGGAAAGTTGACATCAATTAGAGAAGCTTTGGGTCCATTTGCTGACATGTGAACAACAGGTCAAACGTTTGAAATGTACATACCGTACATAAAGTACGGCTGTGTCAAATCAAGAACGTATGCTATATAAATTACCTACTGGGGACGAGGCACATTAATAACAAGCAATGGTTGTAGAGAAATCAAGCAAGACCAATAACTGCCAGACGTATAAAAGGTTCGAGAAAACTTGTCATGCCATTTTTTTCAATTTTGGTGAGCCTGCATCCTCGACAAGCCAGGGGTTACGCTCACCAACGCTCTCTGCATCCCTGGAATATGTCAAAGCAAAATTGAAGGCATACGGCTAGCTATTTGATTTTTCTCTGGTAAAAGAACCTAACCAATACCTGTCCTTTGAAGATTACATTGGACGTATATCAAAGGATGAAACTAGTCTCATCCACAAGGTGGCGCACACCGAGCCTTCAATTTTTTACTCCATATTCCAGGGGTGCAGAGAAGGAAAGTGAAGGTAACCCTGGAGTAACCCTGGAGTAGGCCTTTAGAGGATCGTGGGTCTGTGGTTCAGAAAGCATACAATGAAGGGGAAACTGTCATTGCCAAGCTTTACAGAGACAAAGTTCTGAAGCTTGTCAAAACATTCTACATGAAAAAGCGTCCAAAGGGTTGGATGGCATTTGCTATTTAACGACGCGTCATCACATAAAAGCAATATTGTACATGCGCTTTTACAGCAAGAGGCAGTACAGATTGACTATCAACCCTATTCACAGATAACAGATTGCCTGGAAAGGAGAGATGTGGGTACTGCAATCTTCCTGCGTCTTGCCAGTATACCAACGGGAGACTATTACTCAGCGTTTACTTCATCGATAGCGCGATTTCGACTGTTCGTTTACTTTGATACTTCAGAGGAATTGCAAAAGGAGGTTCGAATTGTACACATAAAACATGGTATTCCTGACTCTAGATACAGGGATTCCTGACTCTAGATACAGGGATTCCAGACTCTAGATACAGGGATTCCAGACTCTAGATACAGGGATTTCTGACTCTAGATACAGGGATTCCTGACTCTAGATACAGGGTTTATTGAATTCCCCTTGTAACTGAAAAATATTGAAAATGAAACACACTGATAGCTAAAACACAACTAAACAAATTCAATGTATACAAAGCTTTGTATGTATATAAAGCTTTGTGTGTATATAAGGCTTTGTATGTATATAAAGCTTCGTGTATATACAGCTTTGTGTGTATAAAAGGCTTTGTGTGTATATACAGCTTTGTGTGTATATAAAGATTTGTATGTATATACAGCTTTGTATGTATATACATCTTTGTGTGTATATCAGGCTTTGTATGTATATACAGCTTTGTGTGTATCTAAAGATTTGTGTGTATATACAGATTTGTGTGTTTATACAGCTTTGTATGTATATAAAGGTTTGTATGTATATACAGCTTTGTATGTACATAAGGCTTTGTGTGCATATAAAGCTTTGTGTGTATATAAAGCTTTGTGTATATATAAGGCTTTGTATGTATATAAAGGTTTGTATGTATATAAGGCTTTGTATGTATATAAAGGTTTGTATGTATATAAAGGTTTGTGTGCATATAAAGCTTTGTATGTATATAAAGGTTTGTATGTATATAAGGCTTTGTATGTATATAAAGGTTTGTATGTATATAAGGCTTTGTATGTATATAAAGGTTTGTATGTATATAAAGGTTTGTATGTATAGAAAGCTTTGTATGTATATAAAGGTTTGTATGTATGTAAAGCTTTGTATGTATGTAAGGCTTTGTATGTATATAAAGCTTTGTGTGTTTAGAAAGCTTTGTGTATATAAAGCTTTGTATGTATATACAGCTTTGTATGTATATAAAGCTTTGTTCGTTTAGAAAGCTTTGTGTATATACAGCTTTGTGTGTATATACAGCTTTGTATGTATATAAAGGTTTGTGTATATAAAGCTTTGTATGTATATACAGCTTTGTATGTATATAAGGTTTGTATGTATATCAGGCTTTGTGTGTTTATAAGGCTTGGTGTGTATTTAAAGCTTTGTATGTATATAAAGCTTTGTATGTATATAAGGCTTTGTTTGTATATAAAGGTTTGTATGTATATACAGCTTTGTATGTATATAAGGCTTTGTGTGTATATACAGATTTGTATGTATGTAAGGCTTTGTATGTATATACAGCTTTGTGTATATATAAAGGTTTGTATGTATATAAGGCTTTGTTTGTATATAAAGGTTTGTATGTATATACAGCTTTGTATGTATATAAGGCTTTGTTTGTTTATAAAGGTTTGTATGTATATACAGCTTTGTATGTATATAAGGCTTTGTGTGTATATACAGATTTGTATGTATATAAGGCTTTATATGTATATACAGCTTTGTATGTATGTAAGGCTTTGTATGTATATACAGCTCTGTGTGTATATAAAGCTTTGTATGTATAAAGGTTTGTATGTATGTAAAGCTTTGTATGTATGTAAGGCTTTGTATGTATATAAAGCTTTGTGTGTTTAGAAAGCTTTGTGTATATAAAGCTTTGTATGTATATACAGCTTTGTGTGTATATAAAGGTATGTATATAAAGCTTTGTATGTATATAAAGATTTGTATGTATTTAAAGCTTTGTGTGTTTAGAAAGCTTTGTATGTATATAAAGGTTTGTATGTATATAAGGTGTGTATGTATATACAGCTTTGTATGTATATAAAGATTTGTATGTATTTAAAGCTTTGTGTGTTTAGAAAGCTTTGTATGTATATAAAGGTTTGTATGTATATACAGCTTTGTATGTATATAAAGCTTTGTATGTATATAAAGCTTTGTATGTATGTAAGGCTTTGTTTGTATATACAGCTGTGTGTGTATATAAAGCTTAATTACTGGAAAGGTTAATGAAATATTGGCAACAAACCACAATTTGAATTTTTTACCATTTGCGTCCATGCTAACAAAACAAAAATACCAAAACTGAAGACATCCCTATAGTAAAAGGCACTACCATAAAACAACTAGAATTATGTAAATAGAAAGTATGAGACATGCCCTGGAAACAATGATTTAGTATTTCTGGCCATCTGTTTCTATGTTAACAGGAAAAACATCAGAGATGAACACACTCCTATAGTAAAAGACATTTCTACACAACAAGAGTGATGTAAAGAGGAAGTTTTGTTAAGTTATCTTGAATGATTTTTCAGATATGCTTTGTAAATGACAAATTTTTGCATTTCTTGCTTTTTGTTTCTTTGATAACTGGAAAAAAAAAAGAAAAAAAAAGACATCTCTTAGAAGAATCTTGGGGCCATCTATGTAAGCCTCTTTATCAGATCTACAAATGATGATCTTTTACAGTTTTTGCTCTTCAATTTCTGTCGGCCATTTTGCTAATCCAGTCTCAAAAGTAAACATTCACAACTATAGATCAAGGGGAACCTACATATCAAATTTGAGAAAGATCCCTCCAGCACTTTCTCAGAAATTGGCGATAACAAGAATTGTTAAGGATGGATGGATGGACAGACAGAAGATGGACCACGAACGAAGAGTGATTTGAATAGCCCACCACCTGATGACAAAAAAGTTATGGGTAAAAAGTCATCAAACATTCTTCTGAAATTGACAACAAAAACTATTTAGTAGTGATTCAAGTATTTTATTACATTGATCAGTGAATGAAGTAATACATTGTGGCTACGCCCTTGTGGGATATGTATACAGTATGGTAGTATTTTACTGTACAACGACAAACCCCTATTACAGTGAGGCTCTCATCACAACCTACATATCTATTAGACAAAGATAATACTCATGTATCCGAGACATAACAAAATATTCTTATCTTACCACTAAAAAATAGTGTACATGTATATAAAAAGATTGCTTGTCTATAAAGTAAGTTTTTTTAAGAAATCACTTTAACAAATACTGCTTAAATCTCCAACACAATATAATCTGCATATTCCAAATAAGTGGCTATTTAAATTACTGTATACTATATTTAATACATATCATATAAAGCATAATTTGAAAAAAAAATGAAATATCACAATTTAATTCTTCTGAAATGATCAGCTATCACATTCTATTTCATGATTTTTTTAAAACCAAAATTATTGTATAAATATATCGACACACACCAGCAGGTTGTCCCATTTAATCATGCTAAACAACAGAATACCATTTACAGAGAACCTTTCTTCATGAAACAGGGGTTCCAGGCACAATGATAGCATGGTAATAGTTAGGGGCTGATGACCTTTGTTTCCCAAAATGTATTTCTCATCCCACATAAGTACACTTAGTAACAAAACCCGCCGTACAAGATTCCAGATGTTCCCATTTTACAAGAGATTCCTGACTTACAATGTTTTAGTGTACAAGATTAAACAATTTCTATATATCACAAATGTCTCCTTCTTTGCCACACATTTGGATAAGGTCCATCAAATAATCAAAGATTAAAAACTATTTCAAATTACATTTTAATTGTCAGCATACTCCCTTTAAAACAGGTAGGATATGAAGTGTTATCATTATCCAAGAATTTATTTAAAACATACATCTTAAAATTTCTACATGATTTTTCAAAAATCAAACAAAATACTTTGAGAAGATATAGAAATAATTACAAAATATTACTTAAACAATAGTATGATATTGTTCACAGTTAGGTAAAGTTCCACTGTTCGTTGATGCATAATATTTATAGGTTGGAGTGAAACACTATGTTATAGTACCTATGTTTTTCAGCAACAACTGTTTATTTGGTGTTTTTCAGTCCTCATCATCCTTTGGTTTCTGTTTCTTTGGACCTTTGTTCTGTATTTTATTCCAGGTGGCTGCGGTGATTCGGTCAGCGTTTGTGATCAGACTGAAGTCGAGACAATGAAGCTGGGGAAGCGTGGACAGCACATACTGTTTGTACATCTGTATAAACACAAAAGTACTTGTACACACAATACCAGTTCTCCTAATCCTTGTTAGGATGTATTGTTTTAGCATAACATAACTTGTCATGAATCAGTTTATCTGTATCAAACTGTACTTCAGAGGCAGATTTAAAACACCTAAGGTGGATAGTTAGTTGGATGGATATGAAATGCGAGAACATTTCAATTTCTGGGTTAATATTTGTCTCAAATAAAAGAAAGTGATTACATGCTTACAACAAATTGTTTAATGGTAAGTAATTACTGGGTATAATTTCAATTTGGTTTGTTTGTGTTTTACGTCCTATTAACAGCTATGGTCATTTAAGGATGTGCCAGGTTTTAGGTGGTGGAGGAAAGCCGGAGTTCTGGAGAAAAACAACCGACCTACAGCTAGTACCTGGCGACTGCCCCTCGTAGGCCTTGACCCAGTGTTGGAGGGCGAGTGGTAGCAGAATGTCAAACGCCTTAACCACTTGGCCATCGTGGCCCCCTATTATCATTTTAAATATCATCAAATTAATTTAGCAGAAAAGTTTCAATAACTATAGCTTTTAGAATTTGGATAAGTTTAAACTAAAAGGATGTATTGTTCCTACTCATTTTTTAAATTTTCTACACAAATTTACGAATCTCAAAATTAAACTATGACTAATGAATTATGATGCAGAGAAATACCAAGAAGACTCATTTTTTTATTGTTCATCATTGTTTATTTAAAAACTGTTCTCTAGACATGCATACATGTATATATCAACATCCGGAATTTAGCCCCATTACTGGAATTACTTTATATATGTTCATATTAAAAGAAAGTAACATCAGCTATATTATATAATGACTTTATAAGGTAACTGTATATGCCTGCAGCATCATATAGTCTATCAGTCAGTATTAACCGACTTGGGACAACTTATCTGATTGTTTCACACAGGTGTGATCACGAGGGAGCTAAAATAGCACACTGTCACAGGTGTGATCACGAGGGAGCTAAAATATCAGACTGTCACACAGGTGTGATCACGAGGGAGCTAAAATATCACACTATCACACAGGTGTGATCACGAGGGAGCTAAAATAGCACACTGTCACAGGTGTGATCACGCGGGAGCTAAAATATCACACTATCACCCAGGTGTGATCACGAGGGAGTTAAAATATCACACTATCACACAGGCGGGATCACGAGGGAGCTAAAATAGCGCACTGTTACACAGGTGTGAGTGCGAGGGAGCTAAAATATCACACTGTCACACAGGTATGTTCACGAGGGAGCTAAAATAGCACTCTGTTACACAGGTGTGATTGCGAGGGAGCTAAAATATCACCCTTTCACACAGGTGTGATCAACAGGGAGCTAAAATATCCCACTATCACACAGGTGTGATCACGAGGTAGCTAAAATATCACACTATCCAACAGGTGTGATCACGAGGGAGATAAAATATCACACTGTCACACAGGTGTGATCATGATGGTGCTAAACTAGCACACTGTCACACATGTGTGATCAAGAGGGAGCTAAAAAAGCACACTTTCACACAGGTGTGATCAAGAGGGAGCTAAAATATCCCCCTTTCACACAAGTGTGATCATAAGGAATCTAAACTAGCACACAGGTGTGATCACGAGGGAGCTAAAATATCCCAGTGTCACACAGGTGTGATCATGAGGGAGCTAAAATAACACACCTTTACACAGGTGTGATCACGAGGGAGCTAAAATATCACACTGTCACACAGGTGTGATCACGAGGGAGCTAAAATATCACACTGTCACACAGGTGTGATCACAAGGGAGCTAAAATATAACACTTTCACACAGGTGTAATCACAAGAAGCTAAAATAGCACACTGTCACACAGGTGTGATCACTAGGGAGCTAAAATATCACACATTCACACAGGTATGTTCACGAGGGAGCTAAAATAGCACACTGTTACACAGGTGTGATTGCGAGGGAGCTAAAATATCACACTTTCACACAGGTGTGATCACAAGGGAGATAAAATATCACACTTTCACACAGGTGTAATCACAAGAAGCTAAAATAGCACACTGTCACACAGGTGTGATCGCAAGGGAGCTAAAATATCACACATTCACACAGGTATGTTCACGAGGGAGCTAAAATAGCACACTGTTACACAGGTGTGATTGCGAGGGAGCTAAAATATCACACTTTCACACAGGTGTGATCATGATGGAGATAAACAAGCACACTGTCACACAGGTGTGATCACGAGGGAGCTAAAATATCACACTTTCACACAGATGTTATCACGAGGGAGCTTAAATATCACACTTTCAAACAGGTGTGATCGCGAGGGAGATAAAATATCACGCAGTCACACAGGTGTGATCATGATGGTGCTGAACTAGCACACTGTCACACATGTGTGATCACTAGGGAGCTAAAATAGCACACTTTCACACAGGTGTGATCAAGAGGGAGCTAAAATATCACCCTTTCACACAGGTGTGATCATAAGGAACCTAAACTAGCACACAGGTGTGATCACGAGGGAGCTAAAATATCCCACTTTCACACAGGTGTGATCACGAGGGAGCTAAAATATCACAATTTCACACAGGTGTGATCACGAGGGAGCTAAAATAACACACCTTAACACAGGTGTGATCATGAGGGAGCTAAAATATAACACTTTCACACAGGTGTGATCACGAGGGAGATAAAATATCACACTTTATTACAGGTGTGATCATGAGGGTGCTTAAATAGCACACTGTCACACATATGTGATCACTAGGGAGCTAAAATATCACACTGTCACACAGGTGTGATCGCAAGGGAGCTAAAATATAACACTTTCACACAGGTGTAATCACAAGAAGCTAAAATAGCACACTGTCACACAGGTGTGATCACTAGGGAGCTAAAATATCACACATTCACACAGGTATGTTCACGAGGGAGCTAAAATAGCACACTGTTACACAGGTGTGATTGCGAGGGAGCTAAAATATCACACTTTCACACAGGTGTGATCACAAGGGAGATAAAATATCACACTTTCACACAGGTGTAATCACAAGAAGCTAAAATAGCACACTGTCACACAGGTGTGATCGCAAGGGAGCTAAAATATCACACATTCACACAGGTATGTTCACGAGGGAGCTAAAATAGCACACTGTTACACAGGTGTGATTGCGAGGGAGCTAAAATATCACACTTTCACACAGGTGTGATCATGATGGAGATAAACAAGCACACTGTCACACAGGTGTGATCACGAGGGAGCTAAAATATCACACTGTCACACATGTGTGATCACTAGGGAGCTAAAATAGCACACTTTCACACAGGTGTGATCAAGAGGGAGCTAAAATATCACCCTTTCACACAGGTGTGATCATAAGGGACCTAAACTAGCACACTGTCACACAGATGTGATCACGAGGGAGCTAAAATATCCCATTTTCACACAGGTGTGATCACGAGGGAGCTTAAATATCACACTTTCACACAGGTGTGATCACTAGGGAGCTTAACTAGCACACTGTCACACATGTGTGATCATGAGGGAGCTGAAATATACCACTTTCACACAGGTGTGATCACGAGGGAGCTAAAATATCCCACTTTCACACAGGTGTGATCACTAGGGAGCTTAACTAGCACACTGTCACACATGTGTGATCACGAGGGAGCTAAAATATCCCCCTTTCACACAGGTGTGATCACGAGGGAGCTAAAATATCACACTGTCACACAGGTGTGATCACGAGGGAGCTAAAAGATCCCACTTTCACACAGGTGTGATCATGATGGTGCTAAACTAGCACACTTTCACACAGGTGTGATCAGGAGGGAGCTAAAATATCCCACTTTCACACAGGTGTGATCATGATGGTGCTAAAATATCACAATTTCACACAGGTGTGATCACGAGGGAGCTAAAATATAACACTTTCACACAGGTGTGATCACGAGGGAGCTTAAATATCTTAAATAGCTTAAAAGTATTTATGATTTGGTGGACTGACACCCAAATCCCAGACTTCACTAGGGGCCTGACCTTATTAGGTATTAAACACTTCATCAGGAGACAAACATGTGATAGGGGGATGGTACTACTGAGTGGGGGAGAGCTGACAAAACTCACCTTCTGGTTTTCAATGGTGTTACCATGTAAGGTCAATTTCCTTAAATGTCGGAGATTCCGGAGTTTTTCTATCTGCGTTAAATCACTGATTTTGTTGCCATGGAAGTAAAGAATTTGTAACCTTTCAAAATCCATTATTACCTAAAAAACATAAAAAAAAGTTCCAAAGAAGAAAACAGATATGAGATTCCTGATACAAGTATGAGATTCCTGATACAAGTATGAGATTTCTGATACAAGTATGAGATTCCTGATACAAGTATTTGATTCCTGATACAAGTATGAGATTCCTGATACGAGTATAAGATTCCTGATACGAGTATGAGATTCCTGATACAAGTATGTGATTCCTGATACAAGTATGTGATTCCTGATACAAGTATG